TAAAGAGCCTCACAATTCTGCTGCAGCTGGATTGTGTCTCATGGTTCTCCTGAAGCAATGAACTGTTAGGTATTTTTATTTATTCATCTTTGTTGTGAAATCTTTTGTTAAATGTGTTGGGGAAAAACCTGACCTTACTTGTTTTTACGTTTGGGTGTTTTAGGAAACTCCTTTCTGCTTTAGGCATTTTGATCCAGTATCTGAAGTTTTCCTTTGTCCTGTGCATTCTAAGATCAGAGTGTTTTCCATTAGTTAAAAGCAAACTGGTCAGGTAGGAAAATTAGCTCAAATCTAGAAACTTCTCTTGTGATTGTGGAATTTGTGGGTGTGAACATTTTGGAATCAATAAAACCCCCTCCATGAGCTCGGGCTCCTTTGTGAGAGGAAAATGGCTTCCTTGTTGTATGGTCTGATTCTCTCACCCTCTACAGAGTTTACACTTTGCAGAGTTTGTTGTCTGTTTAAGGTTTGTTACAATTTACTAAATTAAGAATCTAATCCCTCTGTGTGGGTGTTCTGACTTCCTTTAAGGTAATATAAGTTTAAGGTATTATAAGAACAATAGTATAAATTAAAATACGCAACATAATAGTGAATAATGCTAAATTAACTTAGAGAACATAGATTAAAATTACCTATCATGAACCATCTGCTGCCATGGTGGCCTTGATGTGACAGGAATCGTGAGAAGTGAAAAATGACAAGCTTTTAAAGACATGATGTTGGGTCTGCATGAACATCAGATGACCATTATTCCCCATGACTAGGTCGTCTGTCTGCCATCTCTATTAGTAACAGTCCTCAAGGAGAACTCAGAGTGCTAATGCACAACACTCCACCACCGTCCTCTGAGACCTGTCTGGCAACAACTGCAAAAATTATATAAATAAAAACAAAAGCACTTTGGATGCCTAAGAAGAAAGATGATCGTTAACTTTGCTAAAAAGGCTCTAAAGTCAACAAAAGCAGTTCAGCACTGTTATTTTGTTGGAAAGATGATTTGTTGTTGTTCTCAGACATGCAAGGACAACGTTTAAGGCAGAAAAATAAGAAGTGACATGTGTTAGGTCTGTATGGAAAGTTCTGTGTGGATTTAGCAGCTCTGTGAAGTGCCTAAAACCTCTAATTTGTCACATTTCACAGAAATTGGGACAATAAAAAGATTCGGAAGGACAGCGACCAATAAAAGCGTTTTGTTTCTGAACTGTTGTATAAGCATTGTTGTGCAGGAACATAAGCGAGAAAAAAACTTTCCAAAACACCATCTTTCATTTACAAAAAAGAAATTACTGGGTTTATACTTCTTTATTGTGGTTGCTTGACTTCAGTTTTACTTAATAACTATTTAACATAAACCTGTTTCTTATTCATGCACCAAAAAAAAAGTCGTCTCCAAACGAAAGTTCACAGACTATTTCTTTGGACCACCTTTAGCTTGGATTATAACATACATTCACTGTGGCATTCAATACATTCAGTAAGCGTCTGCAATGTCACCAGATTAATTTCCATCCGGTGTTGCATTAATGTTTCACCAAAACTTGCATTGATGATGTAGAGTCTGACCGCTGAAAAAAGCCTTCTCCAGTACATCCCATAGATTCTCAATGGGGTCAAGGTCTAAACTCTGTGGTGGCCAATCCATGTGTGAAAATGATGTCTCATGCTCCCTGAACCACTCTTTCACTATTTGAGCCCGATTAATCTTGGCAATGTCATCTTGGAAAATACCTGTGCCATCAGGGAAGATAGAATAACCTGGTCAGTCAGTATATTCAGGTAGTCAGCTGATCTCATTCTTGGAGCACATCCTGTTGCTGAACCTAGACCTGACCAACTGCAGCAAGCCCAGATCATAGCACTGCCCCCCACACGCTTGTACAGTAGGCACTAGGCATGATGACTGCATCGCTTCCTCTGCCTCTCTTCTTACCCTGATGCACCATCACTCTGGGACAGGGTCCATCTGGACTCGCCAGGCCAGTTTTTAATAGTCTGTTGGACAGTTCTTAACCCAGTTTTAGTCGTTTCTGCATCTCCTTAGATGTTTTCACTGCTTGATGCATGCCAACGACCTGACCCTTCTCACACAGACTAACATCTTTTCCACCACCAGGTGTCTTTCCACTTGGTTGTTGAGGAAATGAGAAGCAATTCATTGCACCAGTTGGGGTTAAATAACTTGTTGCCAGCTGAAAGCCCATGCAGTAATTACCCAACAGGAGGCTCGTATCTATTTGTGCAAATCCAGGTGATGACCTTTTTATGGGTCAGACAGTGTATTAGCATCATTCAATTAAACAACTATTAAGTGGTAAATGGCCTGTATTTGATATAGCACCTTCTAGAGTCCTGGAACCCCTCAAGGCGCTTTACAACACAATCAGTCATTCACCCATTCACACACACATTCACACACTGGTGGGGATGAGCTACAACGTAGCCACAGCTGCCCTGGGGCGCACTGACAGAGGCGAGGCTGCCGAGCACTGGCGCCACCGGTCCCTCCGACCACCACCAGCAGGCAACGTGGGTTAAGTGTCTTGCCCAAGGACACAACGACAGCGACAGACTGAGCGGGGCTCGAACCTGCAACCTTCCGATTACGGGGCAAGCACTTAACTCCTGTGCCACCGTCGCCCCACAAGTGTATTAATACACAAAATGTCTTAAAACTACTAAACAGATCTGGTCCTGTAGTATATGGTAGCATTCAGGAACTTCAAATGCAGAAAAACAAAATATTTAACAACGTTGTACAAATGCTAACTGAAACAATGGATAGTTTAGGGTGATAAAGCAGGTTATGTTTACTTGTTCGTCACCTGACCCTGTGTTGTTTTTGCACCTGAACTGTTCCACTCGCATTAGTACTGCCTTGTATATAGTAGCCATTTCTCTAATTGTCTTTCCGTATTATCTTTTAGTGCTCGTCTTTTTTAATTTTTTTTTATTTTTGTACCGCAGCACATTCCTAATGTGATTTCTCACACATATCATACAAATCCTTCTGATTGTGACTACTCCTGTTGTGTTTACATCAGGTGTTTCAATAAGTTTAAAGTGAGTTTACAGCTCAAGGAAAGAGGAAGTTTTTCAGTTCTCAGGCTTTCTGGTGGGAAGGTGGTGAACAGGGAGCGTCCAGGGGTTCCTTAAAGATGCAACAGGCTGTGGAAGGGAACGTCTCTCAGGTGAGATTGGCAGAAGATGTTTTTAACAAGTTTTAACAAGTTCTTTGTTGCAGCAAAACAAGTGAACCACACGGTACAGACACAAGATGGAGTCAATGGTGACTTAATGTCAATTAACGAGCAGCTTCATTAATAGATGCCAATTTGACATGGATTAGTTCACAAGTTATCAGTAGAAAAGCCCTTAAACCTCCAACCCGTCTTAACCCGTGGGACGTTTGGGAATACTGATGGCCAGCTGTGACCAACAAGACTATGAAATAAATGTGTTAAAGTAACAGAAAAATACGCTTTTTCATTTTCATCCAATATATTTTTTCTTTTTTTATTCAGATAAATACAAAATATAATTGACTTTTTTTCCTTTTAGTGCGGCCCCTTTTGCTTTAGAATATGATTGTACAAAAAAAAGCCAGTTAAGCTAAATTTCTAATCAGTCTAATCAAGTAAAACGTTAAATCATACACCAAGAAGACGAAGCTGACTTCAACGAATTTATCTAATTTCTATGTAAACCAAAGCAAGTTAGCTTTGCAACGATAGAGCAGGAAATAAATTCTGCTTTGGCTATTCTTACCAAACACAAAAACCTTTAAAATCATTTAAACGTTTTTATTATACTAAACACACACAAAAAACTGCTTATTCATGCTGAGGTTTTCTGCCACACATCAGGTAACAGATGCTCACGCAGGAGTAAGCCCCCTATAGATACATTAAATCAATAATTTACACTAATTGACTAATAAACCTTTTTTACTTTTATAATCGCAGTTCTGCAAGGAACCACCAACACTTCAACTCATACAATAATACAAAGGCATCATGCTTTATTTCACTTTTTATCTAGAAACAAATACATTTTCTTTAATTAGATGTTAGAAAACTTTATATACACATAGAAAAGGCCATCGTTGGGTCATAACCGAACATTGTTTTCTGATGCTGATGGTTATACCAAGCAGCTCCCTAAAATCAATGGCATAAAATACTTTTTAGAAAAATTTTCTTTAGTTCTGTTAGTTCTTTAGTTTAGGTTGCCGGCCAAGTTGAGCACAATCATACGAAAGAGTCACTCCTGCAGCCTTTTTTTAAATGTTCAGAAATACTACGGCCAAGATGTTTCCAGCACAAGTTATCTCTCCCCCACACACACACAAACGCGGTGACCTTTCTTCGGTCCAGGTGCTTAATTACTTTTCTCCATGCATGCAGAGAAACACTGTGATTTAAAGGTTAACTTCTTTTAGCCATTGTATGCCAAAGTCTTTGACAAACTGTTTAAGATGAAGAAGAGTTTGCTGGTCTCAGTTGTTCAAAGTGCCCAAAATCAGTTAGCAAAGTTCAAAAATATAATCTCATTAAATGGAGCATGGATGTTGATTAAAGGTCTAAATAAACTGATGGAATAAAGTGTTTGCATGTTGTTGGAAGCATAGGAGTGCAGTAAGAGGTGATACTTGCTATAAAAAGAAATAAAATGTGGTTTAAGAAGCCATGTTGGATCAAAACTTAAATCCTGGTGTTCAGGGGTCAAACCAAGGGACACTGTGTTCCAGAGGGTGAACATGGTTTTAGGTTGAAATCTGCTAAAATAATTAAATAAAATGGAGAAAATTCAAAATGAAATAGACTGTACATTGTTTTCTTTTCCTTGCCTTCAGAATTTCAAACCATTAAACCCTCGTCGCTTCTCTTTAATACACCAGTTTGAGAAAAGTCAAGACCGCCTCCACCAGGACCACAAAGAAGTCATCACTGATCCTTTTCTTCTTGCTGTTCTTGAGGTACTTCCTGTGTTTTAAGACGTCAGGCCAAGCTTAGCAGTGTGCAGGTGGACGACACACTGGAGGAGCGCTCGTGAACGCTGGTGTTTTCCCAAACTCCTGACACAAACTGTGATGCTGGAGAGTTGCTCCACCCGAGTGTGTTGGCAATTTCAGGGCATAGGGCTGAGGCCAGTCTCTGGAGAATGAAGTGAAACTTCCTGCGAAAGTTTCGGTTGATCCAGAAGTAGAAGATGCAGTTGAGGAAACCGTTGGATGTTGGCAGCCACACCACAACAAACTCAACCCACTCCGGCACGGTGTTGCCCGAGACTGCTGTAGGCCAGAGAATACAAGAATCAGACACATAGCAGCTGAGTGATGTTGGCCTGAAGATTATCAGACAGGATTGAGATTTATGCCATTTTTTAAATTTAGCATTTAAAAGTGTTGAATGTGACTCTACCACTAACTTACAACATGGATGCTTTATCTCCACAAATAACACAAGCCTGGAGGAGTTCTGCTGTGTGGTGGAATTACTAATGCTAGAAGTTGGCTTCTATTAGACACGGTTTCCTTCTATGGGAGCCCGTGAGGACAAAAGCATTTACAGATTTGTAACAAACTGTTACAAAACTTTCAACATTCATAAACGTTTTACACAGTTACCTCTTCACTCACTGCCAGTGATAAAAGGGAGTCTGATGTGCTTGTTCAACACATTCTCACACCCGAAGCATCAAAAAAAATTGACGATGGGCAACCAAGCGTTCGTTTCCGTCGCGTTGGGAGCCTCGGTGAGTCGGTAGGTGACCCGCTGTGCCAGAGCGTCTTTTTCCAACTGCTGCAGTAAAACGGAGATTTCACCGAATCGTGACCTTTAACCCTCTTGCCATGTTCCCCCACCCCCATTCTAACCTTAACCCTCTTTTTCATGCAAAACTTTGTTTCGAGTTGTGATGTCCATCTCCAACACGTTTAGCGAGAAGTTCAGAATGGGAAACTGGGTTAAGGTTAGGATGTGGGTGAGGGAAAGGCAGGTTAGAGGTTAAATGTCGGTTAAATGTCGGTTAAATGTGCGTTTTACCGCAGACGTCGGAAACCAATGCTCTGCCACAGCACGTCAGAAAAAAATGCTTGGTCACGCATCGTCACTTTTTGTGAGAATGTGTTGGATTGTCATTTTGCTGGAGGTTGTGCTCCCAGGGATTTTGACCCTAATGGTCATCCGTTGGTAAGGTCTCACTCAAACACAAAAATACAGCTTTCTTGCAAATGATTAAGTATCGCCAAGGAAAAAATACACAGTCCATTTAAAACAGCAAATCCATAAATGTCTGACCCTGTGCTGTGATATGTATAAGTCTTTTGGAGTTTTTTTGTCAGTAAGCATGCCACCGTTCCATAGAGCCTCATGCAATTTGAATTGAGGGCTGCTCAGCATTAGCCAATTGGTTTAGAGACAGCTGCTCATGTACAGATGTCCGTTACATAGCACACAAGCAATTGCAAAAGATGGATGCAGAGTCTTAAAGAAAAAAAATGTATATATATTCAATAAACAGCACAACATGCAAATAATAATTGTAACACAATGTGATTTAAACTCTGTTGGCTGGCTAGTTATAATCATGGAAGCAGGGAGAGGAGCTCAAGATGATTCCCTCTGAGGGAAATAAACGCCACATTTCACTGATGGATATAACTATTTTATCACTTTGTGTCTGAAAGATTTAGAAGGTACAAATCAAATAACTGTAAAATGTAAATGCATTTGCCTGTGATGAGCACGTAATGTCGCTGATCAACAGGAGAAATTCTCCAACGCAATGACATTTATGGCCCTAATCTAAAAGTCTAAAATTAGCTGAGATTTAATGACGTAATAAAGTGCTTCACTGCGAGGCTCACAATCATTTAGAGGGTGCACGCTCTGCAGTTTAACTTCAAGACTGTCAGTCTCATTTTGTAGGGATTTTCAACCATATCAGATAGATTAGAGCCTCCTTGTGGAATAAAAGGACTCCTCTTCTAAAAATATTCAGCTGCAACTCCACTTTCAGACTGATTACTTTGAGACAGCACATGGCCAGGGTAAATGAGAAAAGTTAAAAAGTCTGAGTCATAACTGGCTTTGAATCAGTACATTCATGCCCATCATTACATAAATATCTCTGACAGCCTTTCCACCCACAGTCCTGGCAAAAAATTGACAGATTTGATGGACGAAAAGCCATTAAATGTTTTGTTTTTGAGGCACAACTTAACCCTTTAAGACCCAACACATTAAATAATATTCAAGAGTCAACTTTATTAAATTTTTAAATGTTTGATTGGTAATGATAATATAGCAATTATTAACTTTTATATGAAATTTATCAAGCAATTCTATAATCATACAACAATAATTAAACTAAATAAAAATCCCACTTGACACTTAAGTACATAAATAATCCATGAGCAGGCAGAAAACCCTTAAAAGATTTAAGACTGCAGATTGTTTTGGAAAATGCTAATCTTGTTAAAGAGACACAGCTACTACATACTCAGAAATGTGTGTATCACATACGATACAGTGGGTCTTACACCAGAGGAGCCGGTGTCTGGATTTACCTTTTTTAAGTCAGAATTTTTAATCTATCATTATCGATTTGATTTGAACTAGACTACACATAGACTATAAAACACAGCTGTTGCAATACTGAGTTACTTTCTGATCATTTTAAAATCTACTTATGATATATAACCAATGTTACTTTAGCTGTTTGTGACAGAGAGGCCAACTCAAAGGATGCATTTGCTTAAAATGTATGAATTTCTTATTCCTTTGCTATGAAAAATGATATTAGTCTCTCATATGTTTTGAAGCAAAAGATAGAAATAGTTCCAATGTTAACTGTTGCAAATAACTTCAGATTTTAAGTCCAACATTCAAACATTTTGAACAACATAATCTTAACTGAAACTCTGTGGCAATGCACAGGTTTATAAAATGTTTGCATGTGACCTTTTGTAGATAGCAGCTGACATTAGTCATATGCTTTGATCTTGGCTGCACTCCAGCAAGCCAATAGCTCACCAATGCCATCTTATGTAAACACCATTTCTCTAAACAAAGGCTGTTCAGTGACAGCAGCTAGAATGTTATTTATTATCATCTTTGAACAGAAACACACTTGAAAAAGTCCAAAATATCACTTTAAAAGAAAGCCTTCCGTCTAGTGATGCTTTGCTTACCATTGTAGATCATGGCTGCCATGCAGGGAGTCCAACAGGTGTAGTAAACCACCATGACGGGTACAAGCACTCTGGCTGCCACATTGTGCCTATTGCGAAGCGCACAGCCGTATTTGCGCAGTTTCAGCCTCTGCCTCTTGGCTGCGCACCACACCCTCAGGTTTGCATATGTCATGATGATGGAGCAAGGGAAAAATATTAAACAAGTCAGGCTCATGGAGTAGATGATGTTTGTAGAATAGGATGGATTGCAGACCAGCGACGCAGTAGAAAAGTGAACTTCAATTATGCCATCTGGAAATGTGATGGGTGACAGTAAAAAGAGCGGGAAGCACCAGGCGAAGGCAATCAGGAGCAGCGTCCTTTTTCTAGTCATCAGAGTTGAATACTGGAGCGGGTAAAACACAGCAATGTATCTCTCCAGGCTTATTGTGGCCAGCGTGTACATGCAGGTGGAGTAGATGGTGGCATTGCAAAAAGCCACAACGTGGCAAAGAGCATCTGGGCCCTCAGTGTAGTCCTTTAATAGACTCACCCACAGGTTCAAAGGCATGACCAGTAGTCCAAACGCAGAGTCTGCAACAGTGAGAGAGAGCAAAAAGTACCTGGAGTTTCTTGACCATCCAGCCACGGAGGAAGAGATGACCAGGAGAACTGCAATATTTCCCAAAGTGATCATCACTCCCAGAACAATGATGATGCTTACTTTGATGGAGTGGTGGCTCAACTCCTGCAGTCTCTGATAGTCAACATTTGACTGGTTGGAGTCAACCAAGGCTGAGTGGTTAACGGTTGTGATCATTGTTCTCCACAGCTTTGAAAGTGTGAGTAAATCATAATTCACAAAAAGAATAGATAATAATTTTGTTGAAGTCCGAGAAATAAAAAGCAAAAGCATGGGCAAACCTATGGAGCTTCATTAGAAAGCAGCACCTGCAGGTTTCCTCTCTGGAGCAATCAGCTGCACACCTGTTGCAATTAGCGATGGGCGGTAAGACTCATCCATGTATTACAGCAGAAAGTGGTGGGATACTTGCAAAATCTGGCTCTGCCAGTTGTTTTAGTTAAATAATGTTACACTTATATTTCTACATTTTATTTTTAATCTGTACATAACATACTGATTGAATTTCAAGACACGACAAAGCTAAGTAATAGCAAAACCTGAAGATTTTTAAAGGGAACTGAACAAAATCCAAGTGAAAACAAGTTTTTCATTGTTGCCATGTCCAAAAATACATAAAATAAAAGGAATTTGCTTTAGCTTTTCAATAAACAGAAAAGTCTTGATCAAAATAAAAACATAACTTCCAGGCTGATTAAAATTAGATGGGATTGCAATTCAAAGAGTAAAAGAAACTACATTTCTTGGAGTTCTTATTGATGAAGACTTGTCATGGAAATCCCATATTAGTTACATAAAAGGTAAAATTGCCAAATCTTTAGGAGAATTACATAGAGTCACATTTTTACTGACTAATTCTGGTTTGTTGGCATTGTACAATTCACTGATTGTTCCATACTTGACTTATTGTGTAGAAATCTGGGGAGCAACATACAAAAACCATACACAACCCTTATTTATTTTACAGAAAAGACCTCTGAGAATCATCAATTATAGTGGCTGCAGAGATCAATCCAACCCATTGTTTATTAAATATAAATTACTGAAATTTCATGATTTAAAAGACTGGAAAATCATACAAACCATGTAAAATGCCAATTTAGGTACTCTGCCAACTAACATTCAGGGGATATTTGAAAAGAGAACTAGTAATTACATGCTGAAAGAAACTGATGTGTTTACAAAACCCAGATTTAGAACTAAAATTAAGGAGTGGAATATATCTGTAAATGGTGTTAAATTATGGAATAACCTTAAAAGGGAAATTAAAAAAACTGTCATTTAATATATTCAAAAAATGTACCAAACTGAGTGTACAAAATTATTATGAAAATGTAAATTAAATCAGTGATCATGATCGCACTGGAATTTAGAACAGAAAAAAGTATAAGATGAATCTGTATGTGTGTCTGATAAATGGTAATTATATATAAATTGATTATTTCTACTGGAAAAGGGGCCCGAAATTATAAGATGTTTTTCTTCATTCTGCTCCTTTTCATTCAAATTTGATTTTTTGTTTTGTATTTCTTATTGTTTATATGTTTGATTTGTTTTTATTTTGAATGAAATAAATGAAAAAAGGTGTGATTCATTGAAAAAAACATTTTTAATGATTATTTCTGATTCTAATCGGTTACTCTGACTTTTTCATGCAGGCTGAACATGAAAATAGTCTCCTACACCTATCTCCTGCGTTAGCTTCTGATAGAAAATAGACAGTGAAACTCTGGGATTAGAAAAGCCTCACAGATCTACGTCACACTGTCACTTAACATTCATGGACTCACCCATCTTGCCTCGCGACAGGGAAGGCTGTTGTCGGTTTAACGTCCAGGAAACATCAGAGATCTCCTCCACTGGTGCTAACCATTAGCATCAGCAACTCCACCACACAGCTGAACTCCTCCAGACTGTTGCTATTTGTGGGCATAAAACATAGATGATGCAGAGCAAACAGAATCAGTGGAAGAGTTACATTGCCATTATCCAATCAGAGGTGAGATGTCCAGATATCAGGAAATAAGACTCCAAATCCTGCTGTCTGATGATCAACTCTGATGTGGCTCACTTCTAGTTCCTGAAACAGGTGCACCAGAGCTTTGTTTCCCAGAGTGTGACTTACAATACATTCGTTCCTACTAGAGACCACTGCAAATGTATTACTTAAATAAGTGTTCAACACCTTTAAGTCCATTGTTTTTATTTTTTGTATTTTTGAGATTCTTTAAATTTCATGTGTTCTTGTTTTTGGTCTCAATTTGATGATGAAACAGAAGATTGTGAGTTTTCCATTTATAACAGAAATTCAGAGTGATACATTTTTTTAGAGAGGCTAATTTTATATTATTATCAGAGGTTCAATGTGTCAGTGTGAACCTCTTGTTAATTAGAATAGACTAGACTAGATTAGAATAGAACAGAAAATCCCTTTATTGTTCCACAGTGAGGAAATTTGGGAGAAAAAAAGGATTTTCTTTAAGAAATTAGGGGAAATATCCACAGGCCAATTTTTATATGTTTTTAAGTCAATAAACAGCAAATGTAAAAGAAACATTAATCAGAACAACTTGACAGTGCCACATCTCTCGGATCTATTCTTTCATATCCCTGGATGGGACACACCTTGGACATGTAGACAGTCCATCACGGGGCCAACAGAGACACAGAAGACGGAACAATTTATTCACCGAAATGAAACAAGAAACATTCTACTCCAAAAAATGAATACAATGATGTCCAGTAGTTGAAAACTACTGGTGGCTTTGTACCATATAACCACAAAATCGGGTCTGAAGTACGTAGGGTGTGGGTCTAGAGTCTTTGGGGATGCCACATAACATGTTTCCTTCTGGCCAACTCAGGGTCCTGCACCTGTCGATGACTAGATAATTGATTGGACGTACAACTTACAGAAGTTATGTTACCACGTTCAAAAACATTTAGACAGTAAGAAACGTAAACTTAATAACAAAACTGCTAAATTCTTTCCAAAACATATGTAAAAGAACAGAATCGGAAAAGAGATGCGATAAATTTTGGCCAAGTGGTATTGCCTATAGTATGATGATGTCATCGGCAGGTGCACCCCGAGCAGATTCGGAAACTAATGCGCCAGAAAACTACAATCGCCTTCGCATTCTCTCGATGGAATTAACTGAAGGACCATCAAAGTCTGAGGAGGCTGTATGCTTTCTGCTCCACAGGTAACAACATTTACCGTAATGATTTTTTAACCAGTGGCAGTCATGACATGGTGTAAAACTACACTGAAAGGTATGCAGTGCCCCCTAGTGGTAGGTACCCACACAGTGCCACTTTAAAAGGTTTTGACTATTTCAGCACGTTGTCCTTTTTATGGATTTTGAGCTGTTGAAATATTCATCATTAGCCTGGCCTGCCTGACTCATCCTCTCTTTATTTCTCCACAGAGAAAGAGTCTGGTAACTCACAGGCAGAGTCACTTGAGGGGCAGGACTAGGCAGCTCAAAAATAACCAATCAGAAAAAAGACGGAAATGTCTACTGTACCATGCAACTCTAGTTTTTAGCTGTAGTAAAAAAAAAAAAGGTGCCTGGCAACGGCGCAAACATCTTTTTTTTTCGTCTTTTTAGAAGAAATGCTTTTAGCTCTTCTACTTGTTGTGGTTTTAAAGACATTCAAGTCATTTAGAACAGAAAAAAGGGTCGCAGCAAACTTCACCGCTGTCTTTGCTGTTTATGAGAAACTGAGCATCGCTGTGTGTGACGTCCGCAATGCTGTAGTTTTTTTTAGCTGTAGTCAAAAATGGCGTCTGGCGACAACGCAAACATTTTTCTTTAGAAGAAAGGCTTTTAGCGCTTCTACTTAACCTAAATTCTGAATCTCTTTTACCAGTCTCTGCTAAGCAAAGACGTATTATCAACAGTTCTACCATTTTAAATTTCTCCTCCCTCTTTGACTTTGTACCTCCTTCCTCTGATGACGTAGAGCTCCTTACCAACTCATTTAATGATCACTGCCTCAAAATTCTAGATCAGGTCGCCCCTTACAAAACCAGCCACAGTTCCAGTGCCTCCAGTTCACCCTGGCTGAACAACCAGATTCTTGATCTTAGACGCTCCTATAGAAAAGCGGAACAACTGTGGAAGAGGACAGGTCTGGTTGTTCATCGCAAATATTTTAAAGAACTTCTCGAGTCATACAACGAAGCTGTAGAAAATGCCAGGTCTTCTTTCTTCAGCAACCTCATATGTCAAAATAAGAATAATCCTAAGGTTTTGTTTGATACCATCTCCAGCATTGTGTCTTCTCCTCCGCAGCAGGCTCAGCTATCTTCAGCTGATTATTGTAACACCTTTCTCCACTTTTTTGCAAACAAGGTGTTGAATCTGAGATCCAGCATTCCACCAGCCCTCCCCCCCTCAAGAGGGGAGGCCCCTCAGTGCTCCGAGTCTTTCACCTCCTTCTCCCCAATTACACTAAACGATAACCTCAATAATCAGTCAGATGAAACTCTCATCATGCTCATCAGATATCTTAACTCCCTCTGTTTTAGTCGGGTCCCTTGCCTCTATCAGTCCATCTCTGTTGACTATAATCAACAGCTCACTGAGCCAAGGCTGTGTTCCATCTTACTTTAAAAATGCAGTAGTGGCTCCTCTCTTAAAGAAACCCAACCTTGACGCCAGCTCCACCAGTAACTTTAGGCCCATTTCTAAACTACCTTTCATCAGCAAAGTACTTGAGAAGGTTGTTGAAACCCAACTCAGATCCTGGTTTTCTAAGTCAAAGATCTCTGACCCCTTCCAATCTGGCTTTCTGAAGCAGCACTCAACTGAGACTGCTCTAGTAAGGGTGCATCTGCCTGATAGATCCCGGTGGCTGCCTGGTGGGGTCTGGGTCCCTGGGCTCTGCTGGGTCCCCGGCGGGGGTGGTCGCCCCTGGGTCCCGGGTCGCTGGGTCCCGGGCTCGGCCGGCTAGGGGGTGGGAGGCTGCGGGCGGGCCTGTGGGCTGCGGGCTTGTGGCCTGTGGGCGGGCCTGTGGGCTGATGTCTCCCGGGACTCTGCCGGCTGCTGGTTGTGGCCCCCCGGGGCGATCCTCTGTGCCTCTCCAGGGGGGCGGGGGCCTTTCTGGTTGCAGTCTCTTTGGGGTTCCTGTGTTCTGGTAGCCTGGCAAGCCAGACTAAATAAATGTATTATTTAGTCTGGCCATGCTCCATTGACGGCTCTCGGTTGTGGGGCGGGTTCTACCGTTGTCTTTCAAATGATCTCCGCATTCCACTGGACAAAGAATGTGACATCCTCTTGTTTCACTCTGTTGCATCATCCCACCCACCAGGCATATAGAGTGCCCTGATTGGCCCACAAAGCGGATAAAGCTCTGTGATTTGTTCACTAAGCAGATAGAGCTCTATGATTGGCCCACCATTATGGACCAATCACAGCTCTTTATGTGTTTGAAACCCCTCTGAAGAGTTGTGATTGGCTAGCCAGAGTCCTGGTAGGAGCTACGGTGGTTCCAATGGAGAATGCCTAGACCAAACTTTGCAAAGCAAGAATTTGGTCTAGTTCACTAGGCTAGTGTTCTGGGGCAGCGCCTGGATCTCTGGGACTTGGAGCTCCCCCTGTCTCCTGCGCATCTTTGGGGGGCGGATCTGTGGTCCCTCACACTCTCTGTTGGACGCTCCTATAGAGAAACCTTAAATAAACAAGCGTGTGTATACACACAGGTGCTCACATGGTGCTCTCAAAAGTATGGGCTTGGGCACGTTAAACACAGGTCTTAAGACTATGGTGGGCACTTAATGCACTGTGATTTATTATTGTGATTCTTCAGTTAAGCAATGTTGATTATATATAAGTTGACGCAGTAATAGCTAGATCTTGTTGTATTGTTGTTGTGTCCCTTTTTTGTCCTTTTGCTTTTTTTTGTCTTTTTCTGCAGGTCTAGAAGCAGACTCTTGTTCATTGTTTATTTTTGTGGAAACCCCCCCCCCCCCCCCCCTCCTCTCTCCCC